TAGTCACAAAACACTGGATCCACACAGGATAATTTGGGCCTCGTGTACCCTGGATGCAAAAACTAGTATCGGACCGTTAGCCGTTTTCCTTCGGCAGCCAAGAGCCCATCGCCCGCCTGTCTAAATTACCGCTACGTTGGAGTTGAGCCCGAGGGGTTTGTCCGGCCAGCCAAACTTCCCCGGGCCAGCCAAACTCCCCCCGGGCTAGACTCCCCCGTAGCGGTAGTTTACACCAGCGGGCGAAGGGCTCTTGCGGCCCGGAAAACGAGTTCTGGCTTCCAGGGTATCGTAGATTTCGCCCGCTCTGAAAGCTACGGAGGATGTCACCCAGGCTAGGCAAGGACCGGTGTATCGTTGCGGTTCAGGCCGGATGTTTAGCACATGTTCCCGGCTCACCTCGCCCACCGACCCGCGGCTCTCCCCATGCTGTTCGCATTTTACGGGGATCAAGATCGGTACAAACAGAGTAATAGGATTTTTATTTCCCACACCATGAATCAAAGAATGTGTTCCCTTTACTATAAGGGTGGGCCTTGCTTGTAACATTGTAGCAAACGGTTTGCACTGCATCCTCCCCCAATATAGTACATATACAGTTAACGTTATAGATGTTTAAATTCTTTTGTAAATTTTATTCCGTTCATTCAAGTAGTTTACTTTATTTTGTTCTCTAGCACCCCCCTTACATTTGATGATACAATGTTTTGAACTACATGTACTCTCATTTCCAAGCATATATTTGGGTGGGAAACTAGTACACGTAACGTTTTCTGACCTCCAAAGTTTTCTCAATTTCTGTCAGTATATGGTATATGTACTAGTAACAATTTTCTACCCCAGCATCTGCTTGGACGAAGTTGGAGATTATGCAACCGCTAATACCGCTATTATGTAAACTAAGCGAGCGTTTTAAATTTTTACCATCGTATTACTTATTTCATGAGTCCAATTGCCCTTGGGAAAGGCACTTTACACGACTTTCGTCACTTCACTCAGGTGGAAATGAGTACCTAGCTTCGGTTAGGGACGTCCCTCGGATAGGACGCAAAATGGCTTGGGGGAGAGCCACACCACCACACTTATTGAAAAGAGTAGTGAGTGTGAGTGGTTCAAACCTTACAGTGCAGTCTTACGCAGCTTGTACTTACATGGGCAAAACTTGTGTGTTACGCCTAAAGGCGGTTTACCGGTTATGCGAAACAAACAAACAAACAAACAAACAAACAAGTAATATTCAAGTATTATTTTACACTTCGATTTCCTTCATAATTTCAGATGATTTTTTCCACTGTTGATCGTTCCCTTCTGTGTTGCGGTGGGCGGGAAGAGATCATACTCCCAACCTGCAACAAATTAGCCACGGTCCACCCACAACCACAGCCCCTGGCCCTTTGTTTATCCGGTCCATTAGTTAACAAACGATGCCGATGATATGCCATCCAATCCCGAACAGGTGGGAACGATGCCCTCCCAATTGATGAAGGGGGAAAGGTGGGGAGGGGGGGCGTGGTGATCCTGCAAACGATAGATCATGCTCATCTCCAAGCAGATGTAGGATTCGGCTCAGTTTCGTCAGTACTTAGTATTTCTGTAGCCTGTACCAGGCTTCGGGAGGCGGCTGCAAAGAGTAGAAATCGGCCAAATAGAGAGATAACATACCAGGGGAGTTTGTCTGCTGAGAGAGAACATTTTGCCGCTCGGGAAGCCTGGTAGAGGCTAGTATTTCTGCGGCTTTGCGTGCGCTACTAGAAGACGTACTAATAACACTGGGACTGAGCTAGCCTCCCGTAGCCTGGTAGAAGCTAGGTGCGACATTTGCTTAGAGATTAGATCACACATTTCCTTTTCACATAAGAGAAAGCATATGTTTCCCGCCAAAACTTTTGGGTAATCTCTTCAGCTCGGTGTTTGTCTCATAAACTCCCCTGGTCAATTTTTCTCCCTGTTGGCAAAATTTTCCTTTCTTTTTTGGAACCCGCAGTGTAATTATAGTGGAGACCATAGGACGGCGAGCACTTACTCTCCAAGCAGAGGTTGATGGGGGAAGATCGTTACCTTTTTTTTGTCGTGGCGCATGGACCCTCTCTGACTCTGGCCAATCTCTCCAGCAGACCAACTCCCCTCGCATGCTATCTCTCTATTTGGCCGATTTCTACTCTTTCCAGCCGCCTCCCGAAGCCCGGTAGAGGCTAGCCAATGCTGATATGGATATTGCCTGGCCAATTTCATACTGTCTTTTTGCCACCCTATAGGATCTGCTTGGAGATTAACGAACACTCTGATCACACACATATGTCCAACTTCACTTAACATTTCAACCCCAAACGTATCAAGTAGCGAACCAGAGTGTGGAAAGAAAACAATACAAAAAGACCTTTTGCTATCTCGACGTTGTGCGGCGTCTCAAATCTATATAAAATAGCATCTTTAGTATACCGACACCTCTCGGTTACGACGCTGGGGTTCCTAGGGGTTTCTTTCGGTCCATTTGATATCAAGTGAGACCGACGATATGTGATAACCTTCCCCCTGCGGAATTTACTGAAGCCTGTCATCCCCCATGTTGACCCTTAACCGGCATAGGGGGCTCGTTTGAAAGTTGAAACCGTCGCTTTTGAAATGAGAGCGGCAAAGGTTTTCGGAGGGTTGACTTGGGGTTTTCTATAAGAGAATTGAAACACGTGGAAGAACGCACTGAACATTTCAACTGCAATGCGACGTCAAGCTATAGACAATGTGATATAATTTAATCTATTGGGTAGTGGCCTGGTAATTTATGGAACCTAGTTATTTAAAAGAAAAAAATATACATTCTAAATGATGAATGAAAGTATGTTTTGTCGGCCGTTTTGTCCAGAGATTTTAGTGTATATTGGCAATGGGGGTTGCTAAACTTTCTGTCAATATTTCTGTTCCCTGTTTTTACTGTTTTCGTGGTACCACAATGTGTCCGTTATAATTTGCCATGCTTTTTTTGCTTTTTCATTTTAATATTTGAAAAAAAACTCAAATAAAGAAAGATAAAAAACTATACATCTTAATTTTCGACTCTCAAGCAAAGATGATGCAAAGGGCACATAAATATATCTTAAATATCTACAATAGTTGACTATTTCTTATTCAAACATTCGTGTCAGTGGTAGCCGCTACCAGCCTTGTTGCTGCCTGGTTGCCACTTGTTATGCACTGTTGCATTTAAATAAACAAACAAACAAACAAACATTAGCCAAGACAATGAATTAGCTAATATACTTCATGTTTTATTACGTTACAATATTTTCCATCCCGACGCCTTGCGCCAACAAATGTTATAACAAATCAGAACACAGTACAACTGTACAAAAGTCAACAACAAGAGCAGGAAACAAACTTGTAACACTGCCAACAACATAGTAACATAACTTCACATCTTTGGTTTTCGCACGCTTTTACAACGTACTATAGACTACTAGCAGTGTTCTAGCCTGGCCTTTTTAGCATAGGGGCCCCCTATGCTATGATTTTGACCACTATGCTATAATTTTGACCGCTATAAGTTTCAACCAGCATAGGGGTGTTTTGGGAGTGAGAACCTTCATAAATCTTGCAAAAAAATGAAAATATAACTTTAGAATGAAGCTATAGCAAAGGGAAAACCTTAACTTCACAAAATATGTTCCACATTAAACAAGAAATAGTGTCTCAGGGGGTTATGAGTTTCCAAATTTTTCGGCTCAATGCGAAAGTTGCTCTTCTGTACCTGACCCCTATGCTGTGAAAAAATCCTGGCTAGAACACTGGTACCATAGCAATAAATCAACATAACAAGATTCTGGAGGGCTGCCCTTATTTCATGTTCTTTACGCAGGATTGAAGGTTATCGTGTCCAAAATGCTAGCCAGAGCATTTGACCTATTTCAACATATAAGGTAGGAACAGATTTAGATTTAGAAAGGGAGATCATTTTGTGACATCTAACCGTATTAGAAGATACCTAAAACTTGTCATCAAAGCTTGCCTGTATTAAATCTTATCTCTAATGTTGGGTTGGGGTGTAAAAGTTATAGTTTGTCAGCAAGTTCGATTCGGTGACGTGTGCTGTCAATGGAGAATGCTGATTGGTCAATGTAACGTTACATTGTTAATTCGTTTAAGACATAACGAATCATTGCAATTTTTGGCTCTTGGTTGGTTAATGCTTGGGTTGAAACTGACATCTGCTGCCAATGGCGACTGCTGATTGGTCAATGCTATAACGTTACATTGCATTTTCGTTTTAAGACGGAACGAATCATTGTAACCGGAGGCCTTTGATTGGCCAACGCTGCTAAGGTTTAAAACTGACAAAAAATTAAAAGAAAAATTATTTTTTTCGTCTTAGGTTGAACACATTTTGCATTTCTGTGTTAGAACATTTCCGTGGTCACATACTATTGCTAGAGTCTACATTTCAAAAGTCAAAGCACTTTTTAAAATCGGCTTCAAACAAGCACAAAGCTAAGAGAAGATTTCCAGAATCTTTTCCGTAAACACACCTGACAAGCAGGCCTTTTTCTCCTGACAACAACAGTCCCTGGCATCTAGCTAGTTGTACATAAGACCACAGCAAGTGAATTTTATGGATGACGTCCTCCACAGATTCCAAATCTAATGCGAGCGGGCGAAAATAAAACAAGGCGGGCCGAAAAAAACAAGGTTCTTACATTTTCAAATTTTGACTCAATCATTGTACAAATGATTTTGATTCAATGGGAACATCACATCTACACAGCCAACATCACATATCACTGCATCAAAGTACGAAACAAAACATAAAATCAGAGCCTTATCTTGTCTCCTCTCTTAATCTAATTTATAGTTATCAGCCATCCTCCTTTCGGCATAGCAACAGACATCTTGGCCTATTTTCGGCATGGTGACTACTGTCAGAAGGCAACAAAATTTCTTGTTTTTTTTTCAACTTGGTCAGGCGAAAATTAATGCGCGCGTCGATGTCATCCATAAAAATTACTTGCTGTGGCCTAATCAACAGAAATACAACGTAAAAACTACATGAAGAACTAACGAGTGGCGATGTGGGGAGGGGGGCATCAACTCTGGAAGTACCCTCTCATGACCTCCCGCATGCCTGGCGGGAAAACCGGTCTCTCCCTCTCACACTTGCCCTGAGCAAAAAAACAAGAAGAAATACACAATAAGAATCACGGATATGCACATCAAAATTTCAACATTTCTTGCAAAATTTCTTGCAACATTTCTTGACAAAATGTGGTGACGGTACACTCAAGTTTTAGACTTATAAGTTATATTCATGCCGCCACCAACACATAAGACAAAACATAATACAACCTCCTATTCTTTGCTTTACCGTACTGGTATATCTTTTTTTTTTATTGCAACATTTCTTGACAAGACATGGTGACGGTACACTCAAGTTTTAGGCTTATATCCATGCCGCCACCAACAAATAAGACAATACATTATACAAATATACATAGGACAAGCAAAGCACGAATTTACATAGTAAAATAGTGACCAGATATTTCCAAAGACTATACTAGTACTAGTATCTCATCAAAAACGAACCAGAATCAGTACTCGAAAACAACGCTATACGGGGATATATTTGCGACGTATTCACGTATATGTATATGTATGTGTATATCTGTTACCAGTATCATACGCCCTTCTTTTGGGACGCTACCATGACCAGTAAAAGAGGAGACGAAAGGTTTAAATCAACTGATCATCCTTAACGAAACGTTTCCGAGTCGAAATTGCCGCAACGCACGCAAGTTTGCATAGCAAGCAGAGACTATGGCACGCAAGGGTCAAGATATTCCTGTCGATATGATATACAGTGTCATATTTTTATGTCATATTTTTATAGTCTGCTGAGACTGAACTGCCAAAGATTTTTATGTCTTTGTATTTATTTTTACTCCTCGCGCTTACGTGGCTGGGGTGACCGTTGGGTCAGAAATATGAAAATGTATGTATATATAGAAAGAATTCTTCATGTTCGACGCTTATTATCTTCAGTAAACAGAATGATAGGGGGAAGAATGTAAACCATGGCGCGTATGCTTTGAACGCGGTGAGATTTTTGTGTGGGGGTTCTTTTGCATGAGGTAACTGGTTTATATTTGATAGAAACGTTGGGAAAATATCCACGGCTATGTCGTTTAAAATGTTTGGGAGGTTACCAAATTTAGAAATAAGCTAGAGGACACGTCGTACCGAGTTTTGCTATAATATAGAGGGACGGCGTTAATATTATTATTACAATTATTAGGAAACTGAACGTTAAGAAGAAATGTGTTATTTTTGTTTATTTTGTTTATTAGACTTTTTATTTAGAAAACCTACTTCATCACACAGTTTTAAACGATGAAAAAAGAACAATTTTGAAGGAAGGAAGTTTATACAATAGACTCATGATACGTCGACCGTCAACTGTCCGATTATGGAATAGAAATTTCAAAAATGCACCAAACTCATAGATCAGCCTCCAGTTTAATTTCGGACTAATTCTATACCTCAGCAACCTTACATCTAGATGGGCTAATATTGTTAACTATGAGTAAAAATAATATAAGACATATGTATACATAGTAGCCATCGAGGACCCCTTGGGGATCAACCTAATTCTGCAGAATTCTGCAAAATTCTGGCTCCAGTTCCCAAAATTAATTCTACAGAATATAAGGGGTCCTCGATGGCTGATACATATTTCTTACATCATTTTTACATATAGTTTACGATATTAGCCCATCTAGATGTAAGGTTGCTGGGATATGAGAATTAGTCCGGAATTGCAAACTGCAAATCCGGAATTAAACTGCAAATCTGGAATTAAACTGCAAATCCGGAATTAAACTGCAAATCCGGAATTAAACTACAAATCCGGAATTAAACTACAAATCCGGAATTAAACTGGAGGCTGTTATAGGTGATTTTGTATCTAGATGTAGTAGGCACGTACTGAAACCTTCACAACTGTTCAATGCCATTCAGTGACCCAGCCGAGCACTGCTGATAAAACAAATAATCTACCCAGTTTTCCTACCGAGACAACAGCCCGCCGAATTAAACACCTCATAAACGAAGCATTTGCCAAAACAGCATGTGTGTGTGAGAGAGCTGGATTTATACTGGCAAGTGCTGCGGTGACCTACCACAGACTTACATGCGATCTGGTTCAACTAATCTAAGCTATCTAACGTTACTATTATACAGATCTAGCCTCTATCAGGCTTCGGGAGGCGGCTGGAAAGAGTAGAAATCGGCCAAATGGAGAGATAACATGCCAGGGAAGTTGGTCCGTTAGAGAGTATATTTTGTGGGTCGCAAAATGTATCCTCTCTGGCCGGCTAACTCCCCTGGTATTCCCTTTATTTTGGCCAATTTCTACTATTTTTCCAGCGATCCGCGGTGCCTGATAGAGGCTAATACAGGTCTACATCACTTGCAAATGCAAATAGACCTGGGCCCGAAATTCCAGAAATTAGTACTCGTACGTACGGTACGTTTGTTCCTAACTGAAGTTGTAACATGTTTTAACCCCCCCCCCCAGTAGTATTTCTATTTCACTCGATCGTATGACGTCTTGTCATGTAGTATTCTTTCTTGAGAATTCTTGTACTGTCTTCTTATCTAAAATGTAGGATGCCCTGTATCTTTCACAACTTCTCCTCCCTTCAAATCATGTTCGGCAAGCATGTCCGTGTCTGTATCTGTCTGATTTGGTCCATCCTATCATTTGTTTCTACTGAGCCATGTCGAATTTTTCGTTCCTCTGTTGCCTTGCGTACGGCGTTTAAAATTCCTTCTCGGCATTCTTGTGGTCTCAAGCGAGCTTTTTTTTTCACCCACGAGCTCCAAAATAGGACGATAATCTTTAATGTTTCACAGCTGGGGCTTGTATATCTCAGCCGCTCCTTGAGAAATCTGATAATCCGCCCATTACTAATCCATCCATCTTGATTATCCCGTGATGGCTGGATTAAATAGAAGTCGTTAAATCATCTTGGAAAACAAACAGCGTGTTGTGGGTGTTCCAAATGCCACCCTGGACCCTCATACCGCAGCGATCTAATCTTTGCCAAGCGATTTTTTTCAAACTTTTCTGAGCTGTTTCAAACGCTTCAAATGATGACGTAAATGTGCTAAGAAATGGCAATATATTTCACTATCAGATAGATAGTCTTCCAAAATTTTTGTTCACTTATTTGCATATCAATCAATAGTTCGTGCTTATAAGTAGTAGAAGTTTTTTCCAGACATTTGTTACCTGTCACTTGATTGTAAAAGCAATTAGCCTTCGGGCATGATTTTGCGAATAAAGTTTCTATAAACCAGTGCGTTTCTTCTGCAGTTTCCTAGTGTCAGTCCGACTCACTGACGAAAGGTAGTGGATGCTACCTGAAACGTCTGACCGTTTCCAAAACCATATCCAGTTGCTTGAGTAACTGTTTTTGTTTTTGGCTTAATATCAGATAGACTTCCTCTAAAACTCTTACAACAGCTAGGTAGACATACGGGTATAGAATCATGTGTCTATAGCACTTGGGACGACGGTAGACTAAAAAATGGCTGAGAGATTCAGTCGAAAATTCCGGTGAGTCAAATTCTTTTTTGAGTTGGAGAGCAGTTCAAGTTTCAATAATACCTGGTAGATACACAATATACTCAACTTCACACGTATAATACGCTCACAGTATTTTGCCATGGACGTTCCAAATGCGACTCTATCATTGATTTGAATGCTATTTCATAAAAAACGTGGATACAGTCCTATATCAAATCTGCCCTTGAAATAATTTTTTTCATGAAAGGTTTTTTCCATCACTGCTCTTCTAGTGACAAGCGTTTTGGACAAGCTGGAATCTAGGCCAACATACGACATATTTTGGGCCTCTCCATAAATGTTATTATACCCCTTTAGGCCACAGCAAGTAATTTTTATGGATGACATCAGCGCGCGCATTGATTTTCGCCTGATTGTGGAGAAAAAAAAAGAAGAGAATTTTGTTGCCCTCTGACAGTGGCCAAACATGTCTGTTGCCAATACCGGAACGTGGATGGCAGATAAATATGAAGAGAGAAGACAAGACAAGGCTTTTTACTATACATGCAATGATGCATTTCACCCCTTTTATATGTGGTTGTGACTATGTATATGTGATGTTCCTACTGAATCAAAACAACATAACAATGATTGAAAACTTCTTATTTTTCAAAGTTGTTTCAGTGAGAAATGGATGTTGCTATAGTTGACAGTAAACGTAGCTCAATATAGCTCCCCAGCATAGCTGAACTTTCCTTGTGTGTTTATGTATAAATATTTTGTCAAAAAATAGCTCAATATAGGTATCATTTCTTGTTTATCAAGGGTAATTATGATGTCAACATTTAAAAATGTAGGAATTTTGATTTTTTTTTTGGCCCGCCTTGTTTTTTTCCGGCCTATCGCATTAGAGTTGGAGTCTGCGGAGGATGTCATCCATAAAATTTACTTGCTGTGGCCTTAGCGACACGTGTGCCTCTGTCTCGGGTTTTCCAAGGAAAATAAGGTTCGTTTCACTCAAGACCTGCTCGATGTTATCTGTGTGATGTTGTGATGTTAGCACGGGTTTAGTGGGGAACATTATCAACACTTGTCAGGCGCTGACACCTCCCAGATAACACAGTTTTCTTTACTGACAACTTCAATGTTACACCTGTCTTCGAGCTCACCTGAAAAAATTAGCGGCAAAGCCTTCTAATACCTGAAAAATCGTGCTAAAATTAACGTATTTCGCTTCAGAAAATGGCTGTCATGATACTGTAGGTCTTGATATGTTCGCGTGGTTTTATTTTCAGTTACTTGCCGTAAATTGCGCTGACAAAGTGAAAAAAAAAACGTTTCCATTCATTGTATTATCAAATATGTACTGGATTTGTAATTCCAATTGGGACTATAAAACTAAAACACAGCGAAATTATGTCCCCGCGAAAAAAAAATGACTTTACAGATCAGAAATGGTTGTTGCCGAGTTTTCAACATTTTGACTGGCAGCGTTGAGGCCTTTGCTACACCCTGTCCAACCCTATTTGTAACAATTCAGCTCCTATTGTACCTGAAGTTCTTGGTCCTTCGATCGTAGCGACGCACTATATAAAAGTTTACCGTGAAAAGTTATAGAAAGTTAGAAAGTTACACTTTTCGACCCACTGATATACTCTCTAGCGGACCGACTCTCCTGGCATGTTATCTATCTATTTGGCCAATTTCTACTCTTTCCAGCCGCCTCCCGAAGCCTGATAGAGGCCACTTGTATGTTACAACCACAAATCGCACGACATAAGACATACCCTAGACCGTGGCAAAATTACGCCGATTCCAGGGGAATTTTACGAGGCCGGGGAAACATGAAACGGGGCCGAGAAAATATTTCCCCGGACAGAGTTGTCACGGTCCCCGACACCTGCGCGCCACACGTGGCGACCTGTCCGCCCGATTATCCCCCGATGAAAGCCGAACCGACGACACATGAAGCCCGCCGAAAGTTTACCCGAGCCGTGTCGAGACAATATGGAAGTCATCAGTGTCGCCTGACCTTTGACATCAATCATTTTCAGCTACAGTCTCATTCGGGAGATCACTAATATGCAAATAAGTACACGTAGAAAAATTAACGTCTGGAAGATCACGAATATGCAAATGAGTACACGCAGAAAAATTCACGTCAGATTGTAGCTCACATCTGTTGTTGGAGGATCTGTTTTTGTTGTTTTTTCCCGGTGGAAACAGAGGGAAGAGATCTGGGAAGTGCCTGTTTGGCCATCCCAACACACTCGTGACATTGGAGGTGACTCAGGAGGTAAACATTTACCAACATACTTAGAGTAGAAGAGTGCCTTGTTCGCGATGGAAGGAAAATACACA